CCGGGGCCCTCGCCACCCCGCTGCGCCTCTGCGGCCTGACTCCCTCATCCCTGCGACCCGCACCGCCAGCGGGGGGACGGAGCCTCCGCCCGGAGCCGTGTGGCCCTGTAGGCAAGTAACTCCAGCCCCGCGGGTAACCCGGCCGCAGTTGCAGGGCACCCTAATATGGGGGGCGGGGTAATACAACAAGGCAAATGTCGGCTCCCTGTTTCGCCGTGGCAGTCCCGAACCCATGGCTGCTTGGCTTGGGAGGAGGCCCGCACCGCCAGCGGGGGGACGGAGCCTCCGCCCGGAGCCGTGTGGCCCTGTAGGCAAGTAACTCCAGCCCCGCGGGTAACCCGGCCGCAGTTGCAGGGCACCCTAATATGGGGGGCGGGGTAATACAACAAGGCAAATGTCGGCTCCCTGTTTCGCCGTGGCAGTCCCGAACCCATGGCTGCTTGGCTTGGGAGGAGGCGATTCCCTTCGCTCCTACCCATGCTTGAGGCTGGCCCTAGGTGGATAGCGGGGGGTGTAAAGGCCCGTGGAATGAAATCAGTGGGCTGGGGAGGAGCCGCCGACGTGGGAGGATTCGGTCTATTTGGGGGATTAAGGTGCTCAGCCTGGATGGTGTCTTGATTCATGATTTTGCTACCAATGTCCCAATGAGCTGCACATGGACAACTCTCAGCACTTCTAGGGAGGAGCTTGTTGCAGCATTGGGACCTAAACATCTGGGCTACCTCTAGACTGGCATGATTTTCCGCAAATACTTTTAACGGGAAAGTGTTTGTTAACAGCATTTGCAGAAAAGAGCATCTAGATTGGCACAGACGCTTTTCCACAAAAGCACTTTTTGCGTAAAAGCGTCCGTACCAATCTAGACACGGTTTTGCGCAAGACAGCCCCGATCGCCATTTTTGCCATCGGGGCTTTTTTTGAGCAAAACAGTTTTTAGCTGTCTACACTGGTCCTCTTGCGCAAAAACATTTCCGGAAAAGGGCTTTTGCCCGAACGGGAACGTCAAAGCATTTGCGCAAGAAGCACTGATTTCGGAAAGTAGAATGTCAGTGCTTTTGCGCAAAATCAAGTGGCCAGTGTAGACAGCTGGCAAGTTAAACTTGCCAGTCTAGACGCAGCCCTGTGGTTGTAGTATCCCCCTCTGTAAAACGGTAAATAGCCTCTCACGGGAGCTTGGCAATGTTTGTTTAATGTTGGGGGTAGGGCTGGGATAGTGTCTGCATTTAAAGGATTAACCAATGAGCCTGAGGGCATGTGGGGTCTGGGATGGAGGTTGGGTGCAGGGAGCTTGGGGTAAGAGAGGCAATTTGGGTGAAGGAGGCAGTTGTGACCTGGGGCACTGGGCTGAACTAGGGGGCTGGATTGTGACCCTGGGGCAGGTAATTGGGGTACAAAAGGGGGTGCAGGGGTTTGGGTTGTGAGCTAGGGCAGGAGGGGATTGATCTGGGAGGAGGTATGGGTGGTACAGAGGAGTTGGGTATGTGGAGTAGGTGGGCAGAGGGTTGGGGAAGGGAGGGGCTAGGGTGCCAGAAGCAGGGTCTGGCCAGGAGACTTACCAGCCAGCAGCCATTCCTGAATCGGCCTCCCTGTGCCCCCTCCCCACTGCAGCTATATGCTCTGTGAATAACTATGAGCGCTTTGTGGCAATAGGCAGCTCCAATTGGCCAGTTTCTGGCCAGAAGCCGGCCATTGGGATTGTGCTGGGGATAGATGCAGCTCCTAAAGCTTCCCCTCTGGGCTCAGTTTTTAAAGTGAAACCACCCTGCAGCCGTGTTCCTGAGCGGCGTGCGGGTGGGGCGAGGCAAGCGGGGAGCCTGCCTGGGCCTCCCTGCAGCGTCCAGGGGGTGGATATAGTGGCTTAGTGTGCTGGATCCAGCCCATGGGCTGTATTTTGCCCAGGCCTGATTTAATTGACCAGACTCTTTACAAAAGATGCAGCTAGCTGATTCAGAAGAGGCATTGTTAAGCTTATTTAACCAATGCAAATGGAAATTGTTCTAGATGGATTCTAATGGACAGTAGTAACAATCAGCTAGATTCTAGCCTAACAAGTACTGTCTGGAATGCATAAAAGGTCTTTGCTCAGGTACCATACAAGTTCTTCAAAGCGTCACTGCACAGATAAATTGTGGAGAATAATTTTGATTTAATACTAGGGGCCTGTGTCCCCAGCTCACTGCGCTTGCCAACCCCCCTCTTGCAGGGAGTAGGCAACCCTGGCTCTTCCCCCTCCCCCCTCCCGGCCACCAGGGAGGGCTGGGCTGGGCTTCAGCCAGGCCAGCAGGGGCCCCTTCTCCCTCCCCCACTCCAGCCCGGTTGTAGTATCCCCCTCTGTAAAACGGTAAATAGCCTCTCACGGGAGCTTGGCAATGTTTGTTTAATGTTGGGGGTAGGGCTGGGATAGTGTCTGCATTTAAAGGATTAACCAATGAGCCTGAGGGCATGTGGGGTCTGGGATGGAGGTTGGGTGCAGGGAGCTTGGGGTAAGAGAGGCAATTTGGGTGAAGGAGGCAGTTGTGACCTGGGGCACTGGGCTGAACTAGGGGGCTGGATTGTGACCCTGGGGCAGGTAATTGGGGTACAAAAGGGGGTGCAGGGGTTTGGGTTGTGAGCTAGGGCAGGAGGGGACTGATCTGGGAGGAGGTATGGGTGGTACAGAGGAGTTGGGTATGTGGAGTAGGTGGGCAGAGGGTTGGGGAAGGGAGGGGCTAGGGTGCCAGAAGCAGGGTCTGGCCAGGAGACTTACCAGCCAGCAGCCATTCCTGAATCGGCCTCCCTGTGCCCCCTCCCCACTGCAGCTATATGCTCTGTGAATAACTATGAGCGCTTTGTGGCAATAGGCAGCTCCAATTGGCCAGTTTCTGGCCAGAAGCCGGCCATTGGGATTGTGCTGGGGATAGATGCAGCTCCTAAAGCTTCCCCTCTGGGCTCAGTTTTTAAAGTGAAACCACCCTGCAGCCGTGTTCCTGAGCGGCGTGCGGGTGGGGCGAGGCAAGCGGGGAGCCTGCCTGGGCCTCCCTGCAGCGTCCAGGGGGTGGATATAGTGGCTTAGTGTGCTGGATCCAGCCCATGGGCTGTATTTTGCCCAGGCCTGATTTAATTGACCAGACTCTTTACAAAAGATGCAGCTAGCTGATTCAGAAGAGGCATTGTTAAGCTTATTTAACCAATGCAAATGGAAATTGTTCTAGATGGATTCTAATGGACAGTAGTAACAATCAGCTAGATTCTAGCCTAACAAGTACTGTCTGGAATGCATAAAAGGTCTTTGCTCAGGTACCATACAAGTTCTTCAAAGCGTCACTGCACAGATAAATTGTGGAGAATAATTTTGATTTAATACTAGGGGCCTGTGTCCCCAGCTCACTGCGCTTGCCAACCCCCCTCTTGCAGGGAGTAGGCAACCCTGGCTCTTCCCCCTCCCCCCTCCCGGCCACCAGGGAGGGCTGGGCTGGGCTTCAGCCAGGCCAGCAGGGGCCCCTTCTCCCTCCCCCACTCCACTCTCCCATCTCCCCAACCCAGCTCCTCCTTCTCCTGCCATGCCAGCCGAGATCCCTTCTCCCTCCCCCGCCAGCCTGGGCCCCTTTTCCTTCCCTCCCCTCTCCCAGCAATGGCGCGCGCCAGGCCCGGCTCTAACCCTGGCAGCCAGGGAGGTGCAGGGCTGCCTACCCACCCCACATGGGGGGCAGTGCGGCACAGGTAGTGCCGTGTGCACCTGGGGCTCTGAGGCGCTGCAGCCTGTTGAGATGGGGAAAGCAGCAGCGTGGGGGGCGCTGTCCCGACTCTCCCCCGTGCAGTCCCACCTGCGCTGCTCACCGCCCCAGCCCTGCCCGCAGAACTCATTTGCCCATGGGAGGGGTGGAAGGGAAGGAGCAGACAGGTCAGTGCGTCAGCTCCCCTGTGCAGTTCGGGGGTGCTCTGGCAACTGCGGTAAGTGCAGCCGCTGGGGAGGAGGTGAGTCTCCGAGGGAGCAGCCTGACTCTGGGCAGTCAGGCACCGCGCTCTGGCTCCCCAAGAGCCTGGTGGCGGGGGAGCCCCTAAAAGCCTGCTGCTGGCACATAAGCCCTGTTCCTAGTGCCTGACCCTGGGCTGCTGTACCCCCCTACCTGCCCCTAGGCTGTCACAGCTGCGATGTGGGGTCTGCTGGCTACTGTGCTACGATTCTTGGCATTGAAAGCCCTGTGGGGTGGAGGTGATGGAAGGGGGGTTATCATCATCATCGCCCTTCATGCCCACTGGTGTATAGGGCAGCAGCAAAGTTCCTCCACTTCTGTCTGCCTCTCAATAGTGCCCCTAGTGTGGATTCATGCTCTTCATTTCTACTTCAGCAGTCTGGCACCATGTTGTCTTGGGTCATCCTCATTTCCGCTTCCCTTCAGGGGTCCAGTGCACAGCAGTCTTTGTGATGGAGCTTCCATCTTTTCTGAGCACATGCCCAATCCACCTCTAGTGTCTTTTCATAACAGTGGTTGCCATGTCATCTTGTTTGCACTGTGCAAGCAGGTCCTGATTGGAAATTATTTTTGGCCAAAAAATACAGAGGATCCTCTGAAGACTTCTGGTATGAAAAGTTGACAATTTATCAAGGTCATACTCTGTCATCTGCCAGCATTCTGATCCATATAATAGTGTTGATAAAACACAGCTCTGATAAAACTTCAGTTTGGTATGGATGCTGTACTGTGATGACTTCCATACAGCATTCAGACTCATGAAGACATTTCTGGCTTTACTGGTCTGCTCTGGATGTCACTTCTGATGCCTCCATCTTGCCTGATAATACTACCCAAGTATGTAAAGCTCTCTGTGATAGGTAGGTCATGGCAATAGATCTTAACTGATGCTGGTGTCTCAATATTTAGGGTCATGACTTCTGTCATCTTTTGGCTAACTCTTAGTCCAATCTGTTTTCCGAAGATGCAGAGTCGATTTGTCTTCTCTTGCATATAATAATGCGTATGGGAGAGCAGCACGAGGTCATCAGCAAAATCAAGGTCCTCTAATATGGAGAAGACAGTCTATCTGATGCCTCTTGGCTCGTCTTCTGTTGTACACTGCTGTCACACCACCTGCAGGCCCAGGGGCTTGTGGGATGGCGTATCCTCTGTATGAGTCGCTGGGGCACCCTGTCCCAGGTTTACTCTAGCCCCATATACGTCCTCACGCTGCACGTGAAATTGTTATAAAAGCTCTTAATGAGCTGTCCTACTTGTGGTGGTATTCCATATGCTCTCAGAATATGCCAAAGATTATCCCTATGAATGCTGTCAGAGGCTTTTTCGAAATCAATGAAGTTGATGAACAGCTGCCTCTGTCATTCAATGCATTGCTCGATGTTACTCAGTACAAAAATTTGATCTACACACCTCCTTCCTTTACGAAAGCCAGCCGCAAACAACAAGCTTGGTGATTTTCTTTTTAAACTTTTCCTTGTTCTTTTCGAGTAGCTGCTTCTTCAGCTTGTGCTGCTAGTTCCTGTATATGAGCTCTCTTATCAGCTCTCACCAGTTTCTTGATTTGCCGATCTGCCTCTTTGTATTGCTGTTGCTATCTTTCTTTCAATCTTCCTGATTTAGCATCTGTGAGTTTCTTCTTTAAGGTACATTTATTACCATTTGCCTTCCATGTGCCTGGCAAGATCCACACTTTTTTCTTCTGTTTCTGTTTGAAACCTAGACAGTCCTCACTGCTCTTTAAATATATTGTTGTAATTTGTTCCCATTTCTTATTAATTTCTTCTATGCTATGAGTTTCTTCTTCTAGATCTTGTGGCGCTTGAAACCTGTTTTTTACCTTACGGACAAAAGGGGAGTCAGGGCTTGGTTTGAAATAGCAATTCCAAGTGGCAAAGGAGAGCTGCGAGGTTGGGCTCGAGCTGGGAGAGACGGAGGAGGCAGAGTGATGTGATGATGTCGCTCTGTCATCATGCAGGAAAACCTTTTTTTTTTTTTTTTTTTTAAAAATAGAGAGATGTGAAACTGTGTGTTCTGGAGAGCAGAGCTATTGGTCTTTCATTTTGTGGAAACTGACCAATTAGAGTGCAGCCTGTAGCATGAGAAGGATGTTTTAGTTCATTGGGGGAGAGACTAGGATGTTATGAGTTATGATTTATTTATAACTATACATGGGGGATTTTGCTGGTTTGTTTGCTTATGTTTTGCAAGCACAGGAAAAATATGTATCTATTCCATTCTGTGTGGCTTTTTTTTAGAAAGGGAAAAAAAACATTAAAATGTCTCAGAATCCTAATATTCCACATACAAGTGGAGAAAAATCAAATGATTCAGAGGATATCCAAGAGGACCGCTTGAATGACCCAGATCAGTCTATGAGAAAAAGGATACCGCCGAGTACCTCAAATCCACACAGATGCAACATCGGTCAATGTAAGCAAATCCGTTTAAAATACAGAAACGTTTTCCTTATTGTGAAAATCAATGTTTAGACTTGTTTACAAGTTCAACTAGGTGCTGTGCAATTGACTGTTGTATAATTAAATTCTGTATTGATCATTAACAATTAAATGAGAAGCAAACATTAAAGAAAAAAATGTCATTGGCTTTTCTGTCCTGTGAGGCAGCCCATAAGCAGGCTGGGAAAGGCTGCAATAAATGAATGCACCCCTCAAGCACCCCTGATCCGACCGCAGTACCAGAATAAAACCAAACAAACATAATTCACTGCCTGCTGCCCCCACCAGGTGCTTTAACCTCTCCCCCCAGTGGCACCACTGGTAGTGCAATGGGGCTAAAATGGCTTCTGGTTGCTAGCTCTGTGTCCACTGCCATCACTTCCCTGCAGCCTGGGGAAGTGTGTGTAGGACCGTCCCATCCATAAGACAGTTGGCCCTGTGGCAACTGCCCCAACCATCCTATGGACAGGACCCTCCCCCCCCCCAAATCAGGTTAGCCTGCAGGACCCTGGGCAGGCTGGAGTTGGCAGCAGCAGTCAGGCCCCCTTGCGCTCACCACAGCGACGGGAACCATGCTCGGCTCTGCAGCCCTCTGCCAAACCAGCCCACGCTGTAGCTGGGACACTCTGCTTTCTGCTCCCACAGTGAAGCAGAGCGGCTGGGCTGGCCTGCGAGGTGGTGGCGGAGTAGAGCTGGGTGCTGCGTAGGTCTGGTTCAAAAACCCAAACTGCAAAGGGCACAGATTCCCTGATATTAGGCAGTACGCTGCCACCGTCCAAGTGAAGAAAGCCCCTTTGAGAATCTAGGAGGACACACTTGGGAATTTCTTCTTGTGGGGTGCCCCCAAGCCCTTTAGCCCTCCCCCAGGAGAGATCTTGAAAACAAAACTGTAATTTTTTAATTGCAGACCTTTCGGTCTCAGGCATGTGCACACAGAACCCCCTGCCTTCTAGGACACAGGAATCGGATCATAGGGTACGTCTAGACTACATGCCTCTGGCGACAGAGGCATGTAGATTAGGGTACCGGACATAGTAAAATGAAGCGGCGATTTAAATAATCGCCGCTTCATTTAAATTAAACAAAACTGTAATTTTTTAATTGCAGACCTTTCGGTCTCAGGCATGTGCACACAGAACCCCCTGCCTTCTAGGACACAGGAATCGGATCATAGGGTACGTCTAGACTACATGCCTCTGGCGACAGAGGCATGTAGATTAGGGTACCGGACATAGTAAAATGAAGCGGCGATTTAAATAATCGCCGCTTCATTTAAATTTACATGGCTGCCGCGCTGAGCCAACAAACAGCTGATCAGCTGTTTGTCGGCTCAGCGCGATAGTCTGGACGCTCCCCTGCCGACATCAAAGGTATTTGTCGACCACCCTGGTATGCCTCCTGGGATGAAAAGCACACTTGGTTGCTGGGTGTGACAGAGCAACTGAAAAAAACAGATTAAAAATACAGAGACTTGCTTCCGCAGGGTTCAGTTAAAAAGTCATTGTGTGGGGTCATGGCGACTCAGCACGGAGGAGTTCACAAGCCAAGCAATTGAGAAAATACCCTGGTTGTGTCTGTCTAAATATTCCCTATGCAATTATGTATCCGTTGTTCCAAGGATTAGTCCTTCATAATCATGGGCATTGCTGGCAATCCCAGGCCTTGCTCTTGTCTCAACTCATCTCTCCTAGCTCTGGCTCTGCACTCGCATAAAAGACTCTTCATTGGCTCTCTTGGCTCCCTGCTAAAACTTCCTGGAGACCCACTGTGTCTGGTCTAAACACTTATAGGCAATTGAATTAACTGAATGGACGGGCTGCCCAGGAAAGGGTAGTACCATCCCATTCATCACAGTGTGTGAGAGTAAAGGTAGAAGTCAAGTGTTAAACACAGACCTCTGTACTGAGAGGTAGCAAGTCATGAGAGCTGGGTAGAGAAGGGGGTAAGGTCAAGAGTGTGTGTGTCAAGAATGCTCAAGTGCATTCTTCAGCATACAGATGAGATGCTTAGCTATGGACTTCCTTCTTGGTCTTTACTTTGTCAAACAGCACATCAGGAAAAAGCCCTTTGATTTAAATACAGGTTCAGTGCACTGCCTATGTGTTCATCACTTAAGACCTTTCAGTAGTCCCCACAGGCAATGGACAGGATCAAACCCTAGGCAGTAATAGGGAAGTGTTTAGAGTACAGGCAGTCCCCGAGTTACGCGGATCCGACTTATGTCGGATCCGCAGTTACGAACGGGGCACTTCCTCTCCCTGGTCTCGAGCAGACCAGGGAGAGGAAGCAAAGCGGCGGCGGAACGCGCGGCCAGCTGACAGCCCAGACGCGTCTGGGCTGTCAGCTGGCCGGGCGCTCCCCCCCGCTTCCCCCC